AATTTCCCCTGATAAGTGTGAAATTCAATCACTTTACAATTTTACCAGGTTATTAAACAAAACTCATTTAGATTCCACAAATAACCAGGGGACATAACCACAGCTTCACTCTGTATTTTGTAATATGTCTCTGTCACTCTTCCCTTCATCTTTGGATTAAGAATCTGCACTAAAGCTGCAATTGTTTATCTCTCCATATTTTGCAGGCTCTTTTGGTCTCTTAGGAGTTGTCTTTTATACCATTTATTACTTTATCTTCCCTAATAATGCAATGGGCCCCCTTACTGCCTACAAACATTTGCTCAAGGAATACAACAAACCTTTTCACACTAATTTGTTTCTTTTGTTTCTAATTTTACAATTACTTAAAAAGTTCAGAATACTGTAGGACCAGACTTGCCCTTGTTTTACTAAATAACAAATTTGGGACTGTAGCTAAATGAGGCCTTTCAAAAATGCCCCTCACTAAAATGCTTATATGTTTAGAACAGTCTGTTTATGGAAAACTGATTAAATTCCCTGATGTTTCTTCCTATGGAGAACCTTATCCAGTATCTCTACATGGAGACCACTGGTCTGCTGTGAACATCTGCTATATATCACTGCCAATCCCTTTTGGCCATCTTGCATCAGCTAAACAAAGCCCCATACAGCCATCTTATCAACTTTAGTCATGGAGTGCTACCACATCCTCCATTCCTGGCAACATCCTAGTAAGCCTATTCTGAACTCTCTCCAATTTAATAATATCCTTCCTATAGTAGGGGAGGCAAACAGGCCTAGTGGTATTATCACTGGACTGTTAATCTAGAGACCCAGATAACGTTCTAGGGACACAGGTTCGAATCCCGCCGTGGCAGATGGTGGAATTTGAATTGAATAAAAATATCTGGAATTAAGAATCTAATGATGACCCATTGTCAATTGTTGGAAAAACCCATCTGGTTCACTAATGTCCTTTAGGGAAGGAAACTGCCGTCCTCACCTGGTCTGGTCTACATGTGACTCTGGACCCACAGCAATGTAGTTGACTCTAAACGGCCCTCTGGGCAATTAGGGATGGGCAATAAATGTTGCCTGGACAATGACACCCTCTTCCTGTGAATCAATTAAAAAAAAAGCAGGGCTACCAGAACTGCACACAGTACTCCTGAGGTTCTACACATAGACACTTCATTGATTTTTAAAAGGCCCTATTCTCTCTCCAGTTGTTATTTTGCTATTAATGTACTTGTAGAATCTCTTTGGATTATTCTTAACCTTATCTGGCAAGGCTATCTCATTCCCCTCTTTGCTCTCCTAATTTCCTCTTAAGAATGCCCCTATACTCTTTATACTCTTCAAGACATCCATTTCATTCCAGTTGTCTATATTTAATATATGATTCCTTCTTATTCTTGACTAGGACATTAATATCTTTATTCATCCATTGTACCCTACTCTTACCAGCTTTATTCTTCTCTCTAAGAGGAACATCATGCTTCAGAACTCTAGTTCTCACACTTTTGGAAACCTCCCACTTGCCAGTTGTCTCTTTACCTGTAAACAGTCTACTCCAAACAACTTTTGAAAGTTCTTGTCTCATTAAAATTTGCTTTACTCCAATTAAGAACCTTAACTTTTATGGAAGGTTTATTTATTTCCATAACTATTTTAAAACTAATAGAATTATGATTACTTGTTTCAAAGTGTTCCCCTACTAACATGTCAGTCACTTGCTCTGCCTTATTTCCCAAGAGAAGGTCATGTTTTGCTCCTTTTCTACTGGATACATTTACATATTGATAAAGAAAATTATCTTGAACATATTTAACAAATTCCTCACCATCTAAGCCTTTAACAACCTGCTGAGATTTTCCAGCAACTTCTATTCAGTAATTCTGAGGCTTGGGCTAATAATTACAGACTAGTGTACCCTTTAATAATCACTGACCACAAGACCAGTGTATTCTCTAATAATCACTGACCATGAGGGTAGGGTAGTCTTGAATAATCCCAGACCACAAGACCAATGTACCCTCTAATAATTACAGACCACAATACCAGTGTACTCTCGAACAATCACAGACCATGAGACCAGGGTAGTCTTGAATAATCCCAGACCACATGACCAGTGTACCCTCTAATAATTACAGACCACAAGACCAGCTTATCCCCTACACGACCGTCTGAGGTCCATGTGCCACAGCAACTTCCCAAACAGGAAGGCAATGCCGTGATTGGCATGCCGGTGCAAATTGCCGTGAATGGAACCCTAGAACGGCAGAGCTCATGCAGTTTAAAGGGAGTGCAGCATAAGACCGTAAGTTGTAACAACAGAAGTAGGCCATTCAGCCCATTGAGTCTGCCCCACCATTCAATAAAATCATGTCCTAACTGATCATCCTTAACTCCACCCTCCTGCCTTTTTCTTGTAACCCTTGATTCCCTTCCTGATTAAAAATTTGTCGGTCTCAGCCTTAAATATACTTAATGATCCAGCCTCAACAGCCCTCTGTGCTAAAGAATCCCACAGATTCACTATCCTCAGACAGAGGAAATTCTTCCTCATCTCTGCCTTAAATGGGCAACATCTTATCCTGGGATTATGTCCTCTGGTCCTAGACTCTCCCACCATCTTTCCTCAGCTGCCCTGTCAATCTCCGTGAGAATCTTGTGCATATCACTAAGGCCTCCTCTCACTGTATTAAACCTCACTGAATACAAGCCCCAACCACTCAACACTCCAGAAGCCACATGGCAGCAGGGTATAGTCCAACAGGTTTATTTGGAATCACACAAGCTTTCGGAGCGCAGCCCCTTTGTCAGGCGCAGTGAGAGAGCAGGGCACACAGACACAGAGTTTATAGGCAGAGGGATCAAGGGCACAGATATCAAAAGGTCATACAACTGGTGTGAGTGGAGTGTCAGATAATAAGTCTCTGCAGGTGACTAAGTGTGTGAGACGGTGTGTAAAGTGTTTATAAAGTCAATGTCAGTGCTGTGCTATCATTGACAATCAGGCAGAGCCATAGGAATATACAAAATGTGACATCTCAGGTTAGACACTGAATTGTAGATGTGAGGCTTTGTTCGCAATCTGTCTCAGAGTTTTAACCTGGAATCAGGCTGCTTTTATTCCAAAAACTGGAATTTATAAGATGTCACATTGACTGACTGTGACTATAAATTGTGTTTTTTGAACAAAATAGAAACTATCTGCAAATAAAATGATTGAATTAAATATGGAATATCAGCTACAGGGACAATGCGACTATTGTATTATTGTAAACCCATCTGGATCACTAGGCCCTTTGGTGGAGAGAATCTGCTGTTCTTACCAGGTCTGGACCTTGTGTGACTCTTTAGCCATAGTCACAGTCATGGAGGTTTATAGCATGGAAACAGGGCCTTCAGCCCAGCTTGACCATGCTACCCAGTTTTCACAAACAAAATAGTCCCATTTGTGGGCATTCGGTCCGTCTCGCTCCATACCTATCCCATCCATGTATCTGTCCAAATATTTCTTAAATGTTTCTTAAATGACAACATCATACTTCTAATTTAAACATGAGCTGTGGTCCACACTTACTGCCCTTTTAAACAAGAACTGTGTTGCACATTTACTGTTTAATTTGAACCTGAACTATGTTCTGCATTTACTATTTGGTTTAAACATGAACTGTGTTCCACATTTACTGTCTAATTTAAACATGAACTGTTTTCCACATTTACTGCCCATTTCAAACAGAAACTGTGTTCTACATTTATTGCCTATTTTAAACACGAGGTGTGTTAAACATTTACTGTCTAATTTAAACATGGACTGTGTTCCACATTTACAGTCTAATTGACACGTGTGGAGTTGCATTCCACATTTACTGCTTAATTTGAGCATGAAATGTGTTCCACATTTACTGTCTAATTTTAACATGAACTGTGTTCCACATTTATAGTTTAATTGAAACATGGGCTGTGTTCCACATTTACTGTTTAAACAGGGGCTGTGTTCCGCATTTAGTGTTTAATTTAAACATGAATGTGTTCCACACTTCCTGCCCATTTTAAACAAGGACTGTGTTCCACATTTACTGTTTAAAAATGAACTGTG